TGTGTACCTGTGCCCTCCGCAGGCTGGAGGGGAGGGTCCGTCCCGGCTCTTCTGGCATCTGCTGGCCCCATCCCTCTGTCGCTGCCCTATCCCTCTGCCATCCTCCCGTGGCCTCCTGCACCATGGGCTGTGTCCCCCCTTATGGGACTCCGTTCATGGGACGTAGGACTCCTGTAATCCAGTAGGACCTCCTGGGAACTAAAGACCCCTGCAAAGACCATATTTCCGGAGGAGGTCACATTCATTGGTTCTGCGTGGATGTGAATTTGGGGCTGGGGGTGGCGTGCATCCCCTCCAGGCCCCTTCCCAAAGCGGATGCGCTAGGAAGGTGGCAGCCTGAGCCACTTCTCAGAGACTCGTGGTGCGGTGTTGAGCTGGGGAGCCAGGGTCGTCGGGCGAGACCATCAAAGCGTGTGGAAGCCCAGATGTCTGTGCCTCAGTGTCCCCGTCTGTCCGGGATGTGACATTGAACCCCTATAAACACGAGGCAGGCGTCCTGTGGTGATGTGTAAGGCCCCTGACCCCTGGTCAAGGGCCGGCAAGGGGAGAGCCCCTGTAGCACGGCCCCCTCGGCCCACCTCTGTGCACCAACAAAGACCTCCCCCAGGGCCCCTCGTTCCCCACGGAGGCCCACTTTAGCTCCCCAGTTACCAGCGCTGGTGACAGCTGGGTGCCCCGCGGTGACACCCTATGGGGACCCGAGATAGTAACTGTGAGGAGATCTGCCCTCAGGGAGTAACAAGGGACAGCGGACTGGGAAGAAAACCACATTCTGAACTGGGTGGGGAGGGTCTGGCATGGCTGGAGACCCAAGAGCGGGGGAGCCTGCACTGGGTCACACGCCCCCACTGGTCTGGGCTGGGACGGTGCTGGGGCGCAGGACACCCTCAATCCAGGGCAGGGCAGTGGGCCGCTGGCCGGCTGTGGATCAGGTGCGGAGGGGACGGAATGTGGGGACCATCCAGGAGGAAGGGCTGGACGCAGAACAGCAGCCAGGCACGGGGGCAGCGGGCCCAGGTCAGGTGGTCATCTAGGGCGTCCAGCTTCTGGCGCGCGGGTTCTCAGAGCAAGGTCCCAGGAGCACCCGCAGCGTCACCTGGGAGCATCGGGAATGCAGACTTCCAGGCCAGCCAAGAGAGCCGGGCGGGTGGGGGCGGGCCGGGGACAGGGTCCAGCACAAGCGCCAGCGGTGGAATTGGGGACAGGGGGTGGACACGGGCAGGTCACCCTATGTCCTGTCCTGGGCTTCCGCCGTGGTTGACGTGTGGGAGGGAGCCCGGGGCCGCGGCTTCCTGCCCGCCATGCCTTAGGGTCCCTGCATGGGTTGTCGGGCTCAGGCAGCCCCCACCTCCTCCCCCAGAGAGTCCGAGTCCCATTCAGCCCTCGGGAGGTGCCGTGAGGTTTCCTTCCCTATTAAACGCGCTCTCCTTGATTCAGGTTTATTTTAGGATTGGCACAGACCGTCCTTCCCTATGTGTGAGCGTGTGTATGTAAACACACGTACGATGTTGGTGAATTAACGTCTGTGGTATTTTACAAAGCGAAGATGTGGAAACTGAACAGTGGCCACTCCAGGGTGCGTGCGCCCGGCTCCCGGGAGCCCGCCCGCCGTGGGAGGGTCCGTGTGGGATCAGGGCGCTGTACCCCACCATGTGGCCTAGAGGACGGCCGCGGTGCCCACGGCACAGTCTGAAGGCAGGGACCTGGCTGTCGCCGTCCACCGGGGCCCGGGCCCCACCAGCGAGGTGCAGATTCTCCGTGGCGGCAGCCGGGTCTCCCCAGGGGAGGGCGGGGGTGGGGAAGGGGGTTGGGAGCCCAGTGACTTTGTTTGCTGGGTTTGGGACAGAAACAGAAGGGAGACCCCCCCGTGGGAGAGGCTGCCGTGGCCGAGCCATGTGTCAGGCCCTGGAGGGGTGGCCCCCTGTGTCGACACGCACGCCCTCAGGGCTGCGTGGGCAGAAATGCTTCCAGCCCGACAGCTGGGGCGACTCAGGCGGGGTCCTGCAAAGGGGGGCGCCCGTAGCACAGACGTGAGGGGGGGGCGCCCGTAGGACAGATGCGCGCTCACGCTGCTCCTTGGGACAAGGAACCCCGAACTTGCTGCTTTAACCGACACCGAGCCTCACGCGTGTCCTCCTGCAACTCCATTCTCTGGGCAGCCTTGTCCACTCCAGTCCGCTGGGCTGTGGCTCCGAAAGGGCTGAGCTCTGCTCCGACAGCCGCCCGTACCGCCCCTCACCCTCGCGGCATTTCCTCGCGTGGCCACACTCTGCCCCGCGTCTCCGGGTCGAGAGCGCGTGGGTACACGCCGCCCGCGTTCACCTGGTCGGCGGTGTAATTAGGAAGGGGCGAGCCGTCGTGAGCGGGCCCGTTCCCTCGTTCCCGGGGAGGGGTCTGCCCTGAGCCATTCAAGCTGAACTTGGAGAAGGAACCACGGCGGAAGCACTGGGCCCTGTGCCAGACCCTCGATGCTGGTCTTCGGGCCGCTCTCCCTGAACTCACCCTGCACGGCCCCAGCAGCCTGCATCGAGGGTCCCCCTGTGAGGCTGAGAAGGAGCTTTCAGGTCCAGAGCCTGGCCGTCCCTCTCCTGAGCCCCAGGCTGGTGTCTCACGTGTGCCCTGAAGGGCATCCATGACGTTCCCCTGCTTGGCCTGGCCTCCAGGGAGCCCGAGCCCTCCGGCACGCCGTGCGTCAGACCCCGCTCAGCGTCCCCTTCATCTGGTCGGCTGGTGAGCGAGCCCGCTGGGTGCGGGACCCTGCGTCCGCGGCCCGCACGACTCCTCCTTCAGCATTCCAGCGAGGATGGAGCGTGTGGCGTGCCCGAGGGACGGGCCTTTCCAGACCTGGTGCGTGAAGGTGTCCAGGGGGCTAGGGTGGTCGCCGGCTGCTCGGGTCCCCTCCAGACGTGCGTGCTGGCCAGCCGAGTTCGCCGGTCCCAGGACGGGGGCACCAGTGTTGCAGCGGCCACGTGCAGCCAGGCCCGCGACCAGGGCCGGTGCTTGGTCAACACCCAGTGGCCGCAGAGAAGCAGAGAAGCCCCCGCGCTGGGGCAAGGTGGGAGTGGGGGGGCGCTGTTCCGGGGCTGGGCCTCCTGCGGGTGCTGGAAACACTTGCTGCGCGGCCTGGGAACGTGCGTGGGCCACTGGCACACTTCTGACTCTGTGTGTGACCTTCAGCGAGAACCAGCTGGGCAGGGAAGTCAGAGCAGGCCTGCCGAGGTCTGTGGGCGGGGCCGGGCAAGGGGGGTCACTGGAGGTGCAGGGCGGGGGCACGGAAGCCATTCTAGAAGGAGCGCCGTGCGGGTACGTGCCATGAAGACTCCAGAAACCACTGCGCTGGGCGTTACCGGGGTGACCCGCTGGGCACGTGAGTTACCACTTGACAACAGGGTCACCGCGGCAGAGCACCCCAGCCCACGGGGCGTTCTGGGCAATCCGCACCGTTTCCCAGAGCCTCACTCCACCACTGCGCCGGTCTGGGCTCGTGCCGAGAGGAGCGCCCCTCCTCGCCGGGCCGGTGGCGGGGCCTGGCTTGTGCGTCTGTTCGGGCCACGGGTCACAGTCTGGTGAAGGCCATGGACGCGGCTGGGGCGGGACGTCGGGGCCGGGACGTCGGGGGCCGGGACTGCAACCCAGAGGCTGGGCAGGCAGGAGCGGAAGTGGCTTCTCCGGGGCTCCTGGCAGCCCCCGGCGCACAAGGAGGGTCCCGGGCAGCAGCGACCACTTATCATGTGATCTGTCCTTGGTGATACGCGGCCCCTCTCAGGGACAGGCTGTGGCACGCCGGTCTTGCCGGGGTTGGGAGGCGGCGCTCTGGAGCCAGGGTGCCGGGCCGGCAAGAGGCAGCGGCTCTAGCCCCGTCCCACCGAGGGGGCTGGGTCTCGTGTGGGCCTGCATGGACACACCATGGGGTCGTCCTGCTAGCAGGTGCAAGGCAGCGTCCTCGCTGGGGGGTGGCATCCTCGGGGCAGGGGCTGTCAGCGCGTGCGGAGTCTCCCAGTCGTGCCTGAGCTTAGCGACTCGAGGCCCCACACATGAGGTCAGTGCCGCTGGCATCCGTGGGACCAAGGGGGGAAACCAAGTCACAGAGAAGTATGTCTGCTCCGTCGGGCAGTCGCCCTGAGTTAAGTGACAGTGGGAGCAGGGCCTCCTCCCTGGGCGAGCCCATGGGACACAGACGTGATTTCTCGCGGCATCTGGAGGCCACGCTTCGTGCTGACTTGGAGAAAGCTCTCCGCTCTGTGCTGGTCTCCTCCACAAGTACAGAGCCTGTGCCAGCAGCTTCCACAGGTGCCGGGGACGGGCAAGAGGGACCAGCCACAGCATGTCAGCCCTGCACCCCGGCATCCTTCCCCAGGGCCCCAACGGGCCATGTGAAGGGCAGGGGGCAGAGGCACTGGGCGGCCCAGCGGCTGCTGGGCTGGCGCTGTCCTGGGAGGCAGGTCCGGCTCTGACACGGTGTCCAGCACGGCCAGCCGGTGTCCGCCCTGGGCCTGGGGAAGGTGCCTTCTGTTCCTTATGCCCTTGGACCTTCAGACAGCCGACTGGTCCGGGCATCTAGCTGGCCCCATTCCTGCTCCAGAGCCCGGCCAGCCACTTGCTCACCCCACATGTGGGGCTGGGCGCAGCTGCCCCCCGACTCCTCCTTCCCGGGCAGAGCAGCATCAAGCTCCTGCTTGTGTCTGGAGGCTCAGAGACGAGACGGCTGTGCATTTAGTTCTCTGGCGTGTGGACGTGACCCCGGGGGGAGGGAAGCTCCTTCAACAGGACCTGGGGCTCGCCTGGGCTGAGAGCTCTCCTGTGGGCACAGACGTCCGTCCTCGGCCAGGCCCTGCCCTCGCTAGGGTGTGCCCTGTGCCCCGAGGCCCTGGCAGGCACTCGGGCGGGCTACCCGCTGGGCGGCAGGTTGGCTGCAGAGACGAAAGCATGAGATCCGGAAGCCTGCGGCCCTCAGCCAGGCTTCCGCCACCCTGACCGCCCGCCCTGCCTCCCCCTGCCAGGACTTCCCACTCCCGGGCCAAGGCTGAGGCGGCCCTCACCGCAGCACAGAAGGCCCAGGAGGAGGCACGCGTCGCCAGAATCACTGCCAGAGAGTTCTCTCCCTCCTTCCGGCCCCGGGAAAACGGTGAGTGCGCGTCTGCCCAGGTGGGCGCCTCCCTCCGGCGCCCGCTGGGCTGCGGGGCCACAGCAGCTCCGACCCCGCACCCCACACTCAGTCTGTGCGCTGCTCCTGCTCTCCAGGGGACTGTCCTGCTCTCCAGGGGACCGTCCACTCCCGTGGCCTAGAGCTTTCTGCTGAACCTCTCTGTCCCATGGGGGGCTCTCCGGCCCACTGAGGAACGAGGGCTCTGTTTTTCCACTGCGTGACTGTTGTGGGAGACACGGGATGGCTGGCCGGGCGGGACAGCGCGGCTCTTCCCCAGGGAGGCGCTCCCGCCAGGCACTCTGGCAGGAGCTAGCCGCCCCCGGAACAGCAGCCAGACCACGACCCTCCTCCTTCCCTCAGGCGAGCCCCGTCAGCCTCGAAACAAGCAGAGCCAGCCGGGAGGCCTGCAGCGTGTTAGTGACGACCAGAGGCTGGGGAGGCCCTCGGGCAGGACTTGTCGCCCGTCACCCCCTCCCCTGTCACCCGTTCATCCCCAGCTGGGAGCTTCCTCCACTCCTGGAAGCTCCAGAGCCACGAAAGGTCGGGGCCCAGAAGAGAGAAGCCGCTGTTCCCAGACCACCCCAGGCTCTCCTGGAGCCCATGGCTCTAGGCCTCCCTGGGACGGGTTCTGGCCTTCTGGGCGGCCCAGAGACGCCAGGCCTGCTCTCAGGGGGCAGGGGGACCTGAGTGGCCCTGGACCTGCCCAGAACCCAAGACAGGGCACAGGTGTTGGAGTCCCACTGCCATCGCCGCCCCATTTTTTGACGGTGGTTTTGACGGTGACGCCCCCAGGAAGGGCTCGTGATCTGGAACGGGTCTGGGCTGAGCATCAGCTCCCGGGCGGTGGCACTGGCCGTCGAGGTGCTGGCGCCGAACAGGAGGGCACAGGCCTCCCGCAGTGTGCGGAGTCCATACGGCAGTTGGACTGGCCACCCCCTGGCCTGTCCAGGGGGTGTGGTGTATGGGCGTGCACTGGCCCCGAGGACGTCCCAGGCACAAGTAGGACAGGTCAGGCTGTGATCTTTGGCCTCCTGTGGTCGGGCACCCAGTGCCTCTGACCCCATGCTTGAAGGGGTGCACTGCCACCCCAGCATCCTGGCCCTCACATGCCGGATGGAGTGTGCATGGACTAGGGGGGCGGGGAGGGCTGACCATTTAGCCCGTCACTCACCAGTCTGAGAGCCCTACTCCCTGGGGCCCATGGGCCTCCCTTCGTCACCCTTCCATGAGCAGCCAGGCGTCCGAAGCTGGGGCTGGTGCTGCTCACGGCCCCGTCTCGGAATCCCCAGATGCAAGAGGGGGACCCTGGGGCCGCCACGTGCACGGCGGCAATAGCACGGTGCGCTTCTCCCTGCTGGGCCGTGGGGCCCGGGGCCCCTGCAGCCCTTCCTGCCCCAGCTCAAAGCCCCAGCAGAGAAGTGGAGAGGGGAGACCACCCCTGTTCTACACACTGCCCCCGGGGAGGCCCCGAGGCCCTGCAGAAGGCTGCCCGAAACCAGAGGCTTCCTTCCACTTTCCGGAGGGAACTGGGTGGGGACGGGGGACCCGAGAGCAGGAACCAGGCCGGTGCACGCACTTGCATGTTGAGGCCTGGGGCTCCGGTGTAGCCAGGGAGAGGGATGGGCAGCCCAGAGCCTCTGTTCACTGCTGCGCCTGGGGACCTGGTCACCCTCCAAGTGCCCTTCCGGTGGGAGGCTTGGGGTTCTACACAAAGGGTTCTGGGAACCACCGTGCCTGCACCCCACAGGGGAACGGCGAGCGCCCTGGCCTTGGCCACTGCCCTCCAGGGCCCAGGCCCAGTCCTGGTCTCCTGCGCTCCTCTGGTAAGATCAGGCCTCATGCGACACAGAGGGTCTGAGTAACCCGACCTCTGTGTGCTTCCTGCCCCTCCATAAAGGGCTCGAGTACCAGCGGCCGAAGCACCCAATTTCCAGCAGTGACATCGAGGCGGCCTCCACGGGGACACCCCTACAGCAGGAGAGCCCCGAGCTGTACCGCAAAGGCACCACCCCCTCGGACCTGACCCCCGACGACAGCCCCCTGCACAGCTTCCCCGCAAGCCCTACGGCCACCCCGCCCCCGGCCCCTGCCTCACGGAACAAGGTTGCCCACTTCTCCCGGCAGGTCTCGGTGGACGAGGAGCGAAGCGGGGACATCCAGATGCTCCTGGAGGGCCGGGGCGGGGACTACGCCCGCAACAGCTGGGGCGAGGAGAAGGCCGGCGGCTCCAGGGGCATCCGCGGCAGCGGCCTCCGGAGCGGCCAGCCCACGGACGACTTCCGCTGCCGGGGCTCGGGCCACAAGCAGCCCGGCAACCCCAAGTCCCGGGAGCGGCGGACGGAGTCACCCCCGACGTTCTCCTGGACTTCGCACCACCGGGCCAGCAATCCCAGCTCCGGGGGCGCCAAGCTGCTGGAGCTGGATGAGGAGAAGCTGAGCAACTACGAGATGGAGATGAAGCCGTTGCTGAGGGTAGACTCGTACGCGCAGGAGGCCCACCCCCAGAAGAGACGCTACAGCAAGGGGGCGGCCTGCCGGGGCCTGGGGGAGGACCACCGCACCGACGACCGGGGCTTCGGGGCACAGAGACTGCGGTCCAAGTCCCAGAACAAGGACAGTGCCCGGCCGGCGCCCTGCGCGGAGCCCGCGGTGCAGAGGCTGGAGAGCCTGCGGCTGGGGGACCGGGCTGAGCCCCGGCTGCTGCGCTGGGACTTGGCCTTCTCCCCGCCGCAGAAGTCCTCACCAGTGGCGCTGGAGTCAGACGAGGAGAACGGGGACGAGCTCAAGGCCAGCACGGTAAGTGGTCGCCGGCCGCTGGCGAGGGGGCAGCAACTTCTTCCCGAGGAAAGGGACCTTCCCCATAGGAAGCTTCTGTGGGGGACAGAGTCCCCCTTACTTTAGAACCAAGAGAGGGTCACTCCCAGGCTTGACCCTAGCAGCGAACGCACTTGGACCATTCTGGACGCTCCCAAAAGAAATTGGGCCATAGCAGGACCCTGTCCTCCCCGACCCGGGCCCAGGAAGGTCCTCCCCTGCCCTGGTGAGGAGACCTTGCCGTCCTTGGGTTCAAGGATGGTCCCGGGTGTCGGAGAAGAGCACGGAGGGTCAGCCCGAGCCACTGGGGCATGGGGCTGGGAACTGGCTCCGGCCACACCTCTCACTTGAGGGCCAGGCGCTGGGGCTCTCCACGAGGCCCACTCACAGGCAAGATGGACAGAGGATAAAATTTGGTGAAGGCGTCCACACCGAGCTTCCCTCGCTCGCAGAGTTGCAGCCTCTCTAGCTCACCCATCTCGGGAATTTAGCCACATGGGGGCAGCCGGGCTCCAGGTCACCGGGGGCAGGGGGCACTGGGGTTCACTCATGGGTCCTCGTATGTGCGTATGCCTCCCATGGCAGGCAGTTCGGAGCTTAGAATGGAGGCCCCTAGGCTGGACTGTGGGGCCGGATGAGCTCTCACACACAGGAGGGACCTTCTGGGACCCTTCAGCTGGAGGCTGCAAACCAGGGACAGACATTGCCGGCGTCCCTGGCCCGACAGCTTCTCAGCCCCAGCCCGGGCTCACGCCCCTGCACACTCTATGCCATAGCCTGCAGCACCCACCCACGAGGGCTTGCTTCCCTGCCCCTGGAGGGCCACGCACCGGCCCCACAGGGCACGCAGCACCTCGGCCACCTCTGGGACCCAGCAGTGTGGCCGGGCAGGGTCAGCGTCCATGCCTGTACCCTGCAGGAGCGGCACCGTCTGGCAGGTCAGGGCTCCATGCTCCTGGGAAGAGACGCTGGGGGTAGGGGCCCTCCCCTTGAAACCACTGTGAGCCTCCGGTCAGTGGGCCGGTTCCTTAGTGCTCCTGCTCCCCGCATGCCAGATCCCACCAGAGCACAGCCCTCTGAGTGCCCACTGGGGCAGGACTAGCTTGTAGCACAGCCCCGTGTCCCATCCCAGCAGCCAGAAACACGTGCACGCCCTACAGTGTGTGTACCCATGTGCACGCACATGTGCACGGGGCACGTGTGGTTTATGGTGGAAGCTAGAAGATGGACAGGTGGGAGACAGGGGAGAAGGTTCGACCCGTGTCCTCCTTCCCTAAATTGGTGCTGTGAGATGAAGCCCTGGGGGTGGGGGTGCGGCTGTATTTCCTCCGCTGACCCCGCCCCCAGGTGCAGCTCAGTGGCCTCTGCTCCCCTCAGCAGTGAGGCTCCAAGGACAGCCCCAGGAAGGCTCGCTGCAGCCTCCACTCCAGGGGCAGCAAAGGCTCGGAGGCAGCCCGAGGCTGCACAGGGACAGCAAGAGGGGCACGAGAGCAGCTGACGGGACGCCTGTGCGAGGGCTTGGACGTCAGCAGGTTTGGGGCCTTGGCCCTCAGGCTGGGGCCTTTCTGGGTGGGCCACATCGGGAACCCCAGGGACGGTATTTTGTCCCAGCCGCAGAGGACACTTACTTAAGGTGACCCGGTGCTGGGAGGGGATTCCAGGACCAGTCACTGGAGCCCGGGAAGCAAGAGGACCGGCTCCTGGCTGGGGCGGGGGGGGGGGGGGGCGGGCGGGGTGCGGGCTCACCTCTCCTGTCCCCTCCCGCCGCAGGGCTCCGCCCCCATCCTCGTGGCCATGGTGATCTTACTCAACATCGGAGTCGCCATTTTGTTTATTAACTTTTTCATCTGACGGGACGTCACATTACGAAGACAACGGCTGGTGTACAAAAGGGACGAACCCACGACAACAGGGAAGGATCGTAACTCGGACGGCCCGACCACCACTCTGAGTCTTTTCACAGAACGTGACTGGGTATTACTCACAGTTTGCCTTTTTTTCTGGGTAATGTTTTTTGGATTTTAGCCAAAATTCTTTGCTTGTATAACACGATGCTGTGTGGCATGGCAGAAGGAGGCCAGCACCCCGACCCTCCAGCTTGGTGTGGAAGGAAAGGGATCCCAGCAAATCAATGGCCACAAACTGAGACAGCCACGGTCCTCGCCGCCGCCACCCCCCGCCTGGGACTGGAGAAGGAGGCTGCCGGAGGAAGCCCCTGCGCGTCCAGCCGCGCCCGGCAGACCGGGAAGCAGCTGCTGCGAGGCTGAGCGCGGGAATCTGCCACCTCTGCTTGTCCCCCGGGTCCTGGGAGAAGCGAGTGACCGGGTGGGCGCGCGGCGGGGGAAGAGGGCGCGCCGTCCCCCACCCCAGCAGCAGCTGGGCCTCTGTCGGAATCTGTGCCGTGTGCTTGAGGAAGCGGGGACCTGCCGCCCCTTCCCTTCCCCCCCCGGCCCTCAGCTTCCTCTGGCCTTCACAGCGAGGCCAGCTGCCCACCAAGTCTGAATGCAGAGTCCTAATACTCCCGCCTCCGGTCCGCCCCGCCCCCGCCCCGCCCCGACCCCAGGAAGCAGGGCTGCGGAGGGGACAGAGGGCGGGGAGCATTGTGGGCTCACGCAGCCAGCACAGCTGGCTCGGAGTGTGGCATTTGTACACGTGGCATGCAGAAAGCGTACCCAGGCCCCTTGTCCCCCTCAGACGTCATGGCAGCGACACCATCCTTTCTCGCGGTCACTAAGCACACGGGTTCTCACATCTCTGTCCTGTGCCAGCCTCCACTCCGCACCCCCAGATGTGCACACTCCTTCCAGATGCCTCGTTCATGCTCCGGAGCTGGTCTGGTCCCAGGACAGGAATGTGGGCGAAACCCAGTGGCTTAAAATTCCTGAGCAGCTGTGGCCTGTCCCCTCCCCCTCCCCACACCACGTTACTGGTTTCAGTCAGTTCTGCCTTCTCCACCGGTGTCGCTCCGTCATCCAAATGAAAGAACAAGGTTCCGGAAGGTTTGGGCGCCCTGTGGTCCTAGCGCCGGAGCCAGCCCCAGCCCGTGGGTATGGACGTGTCTGTGGGGCACGGCCACGTCCATACACAGGCCGCCGCGCTCCCGCGTGGGACGGTCCTGACCGTGAGCTTCCACAGCCGTCCTGGACACAGCCCGGCTATGGACTCTGCCTTGCTTTGCTTATCTCTAGCTGTTTCTCTGCTACCTTTCGAGCAGATTTCTTTACTACACTGCACTGGATTGCTATATTTTTAACCAGAAATAAACTCAAGATTAGAGCATGTTCCAGTTAAACCCAGCATCGTTTGTTCCGTCCCACATTCACGCCCCCTTTCTTCTCATCTTGTCTTAGTTCGGGAGTCTTTCTTGGGGGCCTGGGGACAGAGGAGAGCAAGGATCCATTAAGAAATGCACTGCTGATGATGTCGCTTCCTAATGGGAAATGACATCTTTTTGCACATCTTACCTTCCGTGCTTTCTGCTCGGACCCGAGGTGAACCAGAGACTCCGGTTCCTGGCGGCTCAGAGCCCTCCGTGCTGGGACGTGGGTCTGAGAGTTCTGTCTGTGCCTCTTGGCAAAGATGACAGACTTCCGTACATTCCGGGGACAGCAGGACACAAAACGGGGCCTGGAGCGGCAGGTCACACACGCACGCACACACACATGGCACTGACCGGGGAGGAGCGGAGAAACACAAGCTGCCACCCCGTGAAGGCAGGACTGGTGTCATGACAAGGGGCTCGTATCCCATTACACACCGGCCCTGTGACCACAGCCGTGACACCACACGGCCCACCCTTCCCTGCACACCCGGGGGTTCCCCGTGGATTCCACCACAGCCACAATGTCCTGGGCTGAGGGACTCCAGAAGCTGCTGCTTCCCTGGTTTCCCAACCGATTAGGACCAGTCAGCTTGGCACTTCTGCTCGCCGGGCTGGCTTCTCCTCCCGGCCCAGAGCCTCCAGCTCCCCCAGCAGGTGCCGGTCCTACCATGGGGCCAGGGCAGCTAACCCGCTTCTCTCCTGAGCGCTCCCGGAGGGCACACACGCAGAGCTAGACCAGGCCCCACAGGCCCATCGGGAAGCACAGGCGAGCAGGTCAGGGCCGGCCCCCGTGGTTCGAAGTGCTGACACGTTTTAATTACTCCCAGAGCAACCTCGCGAGAGTCCTCTTCTCCCATGACAACTGCTTCCACACTCTAGATGTGAAAGCCGGAGGCAGAGAAACTGAGTGACCGGAGCCCTGAGCCTGGGAACCATGGGGAGGTGGGGCGAACAGGTCCCCGGTCCATGCCCAGCTCCTGCTGCCCCCCTCCCCGGGCTGGGAAACCTGCACTCACACCTCACCCCAAAAGACCTGGGAAGGACACTGCCCTCTGGGGTCCGTAGGTGCGCTCGTCTGTGCACACAAAGCACCTGCTGCATTACCAGAAAGCCGAGGAAACTTAGGAGGCGGGCTGTGCTTTCCGAAACCTGCTCAGGGCCTGTGATGTGCTTGGAACAATGTCAAGCACATGGAAAGTCACCCACATGTCTAAGCTTCACTAATCATTAGCACACGGGATCCCAAAGACACAGAGCAGGGAGGCAACACAGGAGCCTAAGTGACTGGCAGCGAGAGGACGGATGTGGAGGAAACTTCCGGTAGCCACAGAAGTACAACACCCGTTACCAAAACCGCTGTCCCCAGAAGTCCACAACCACAGTTACAGCCGACAAGCTCCCGTCTGCGTCGAAATGACCGCAAGGGCTGTGCGCGCACACGTAACTGTAGGGTAACGGCTCCCTGCCACTTGAACCACCCAGACTCCCCAGCAAAGCAGGAAGAACACGGGCGGGTCCCGCAGCCCACGGCCACCCCTCGGGAACCATGTCTGGTGCCCACACCAAGAGGGGACACAAAGGGCAGCCCCACATCCTGGTCCTAAAGGTGCTCCCTTTCCCTTTCAAGAGCGTCCCCATTTGGATAATCCATTAAGTGGGGACAATCCGTCCCCGCTTTAAGCCAAGGGATGTCACCGAAAGCCCAGGGCAGGGACGAGACGCTATGTACAGCCTGACGCAGACGAACATCTGGGCACTGAAGGAAGTGGTTTCTCGCATTTTTTAGTTCGGGTGTTTTGACCTTTTCTCATCCCCCTCCTGAATCAGCACTAGTGTTGGGGTCCCTCTTGAGGCAGGTTTCACTTGCACCCACGGGGGGACACGCTCCGGACGCCCGCGGTGCCTTCCTCCAGGGGCAGGGGCTCGCTGGAGGGCGCAGGAAGACACGGCTCACGGTCGAAGAGCGCCAGCCTCGGCTCGGATGAAGCTGACCTTCCTCGACTCCCGCAGGTCTCGTCTTCCGGTTTTTCTTGCCTTCGGTCTCAGAAACTTATCATAAAGGTGCCTACTAGATTTTCAGCCTCTAGTCCACAGCCGCACGTGCTGTCGGGCCCCCCACTCTACAGCCAGCACTGAGGAGCGCGGACGTTTCGCGTTTCCGTGGTGTCCTGCCTGGGACAGGACTTGCTCACGTCAGTCCAGCATAAACGAGAAGCAACAAGACCAGAATTCCAGACGAGAAATAAGGAGTAGGGGTGACGTGCTCTCGGCAAACAAGGGGTCTTGTTATAGTTTCTCCCCTGCCCAGGCCCGGCCACGTGTCACACGCTACTGCCAGCAAGCAGACTGGGAACATGATCTGCCCCCGAGATCCGTTCCCAAGAAGTGTCGCTAACAGCCTTAAGAGCATCAGGAAAAAGTGCAGTTACCTTTGCTCCAAAACAGAAGAACAGCGCTGCATTTTTACAGTCTGAAAGCTCTGGGAGTCGAGGGTCGCAGGCACTGAAAGCATCTGAGGAAGGTTGGGGGGGAGCGCTGGGCACCTCAAAAAGCAACAGACAGAAGACACCAGCACGCGTGCCCCTGGACGCAGAAGACCCCCAAGACGGCTGCGCCTTCTCCACGAGAGCACCCACTAAGGAGGAAGGGTGCCTCTGCGTGAAACCCCAACACGGAGATGCCTGAGATACAAAAGGACAAACACGCGTCATTCCAGCTTGTTCCTCGGCCTCCGAGAAGCAGGCGGCCCGGCCGCGAGCAGCCCGGGGCCAGTCGGGGTGTGCGGCCGGGACCCGGGGCTTCAGGGACGGCAGGAAAGGCGGAGAGCAGCACACCGCATACCTACCTCACTTCTGTCTGCCCCCACCACTCCCACCTGCTGCAGACCTGACACACAGCTCACCGCTGCGTCTGCGCACGCCCGCCCTGGCTGTGCCGCCACTGCGTGGGGACACAGGGACAGCAGCAGCCTGAACCCATGAAGGGCAGGAGGCCCCAAGGGGTGGCGGAACAGGTGCTGGCGGGGCCCCTGCTTGTCCCCAGCACACTGGCTGACCTGCCCCGGCGATCCCTCGCACGCCTGCTACCAAGAGATGAGCCGGCTGGAGCGTCCCAGTCCCGTAAGATGAGCGTCACCGCCCCCAGGGCTTCCCTCGAGAGAACACAAGTCACAGAGGAAGGGCTTTCCACCACGAGGCCAACCGCGAGGCCAAGCGCACTAAGGGGGTCTCCCTCCCTAACACCGTCAGGCGCGGGGCAGCCCACACCACGCAGCCCAGTGCTCCTCAGCGAGCGGCACCCACGCCACCCGCCTGCCCTTCGCGAGGGAGAGGGCTGCCCTCCAGTCACCCAGCGGGGGCTTCCACACGGCGGGGTGGGGTGCCGCTCGGGGAGAAGACGGGTCTGGGCGCAGGCGGCGGGCATCGGCAGCTCACGTGTGGCCGGGGTCCCCCTGACCACAGGGCCAACCCCGACAGCCGGACTCAGCTCACCTGCACCGTGTCCAGAGAAACGAGGCCCGCCGCAGCCCGATGGAAGTCCCAGTG